ATCAGCATTCAGGAATTGTAACTAAACACAGGTATAGGATGCTTAGGATTTAAAGTCAAATATCACTAAAATCCCCGCCTCACAGTCGCCATCATGGCACTTTTGTCTCGTCTAAACAATGCCTGCTTTTAGACTGTTAAACCAAGTGAGTACAACCAGAAGGTTTTGCAATTCTCTTTTCTATTTGTCTTCCAAAGGGAAATGTGTCTTGACTAATAGGGTACAGTACCAGAGAGGAAAGTGGTAATAAAATCTTTGTCATAAATAATGAGCATAGACTCCCTGATGATGTTGACTGCATCTCACATAAAGACCAAAGAACTCTCCTCTGTAGATAACCACTGGGATAATAAAAAGAAACTCTTATAAAACACTTTGGATAAAAGCACTCTTTATCTGGACAGGTATTAAATTAGCTAATGCTCTTCAACGGCAATAAATGCTTGAGCTTTTAGTAGTCGTCACACGCAGCATGATATTACCTTGGAATAGCCTCCAGGTGTTTCACGTTCATTTTTTAAATATTAGTAAGGTTTCTATGAAAATGTTCCAAACCCCACCATCTGGACACATCTCAATGCACACAGCATTTAGAGGCTGCACTCAGTAGATAGACTTCTCCACCTCTTTCATTTATCCTAAAAAAAAAAATAACTACAAACTAATTGGCAATATTTATGAAAAAGCTGTTAAAAGTTAGGTTTGACTACACTGTCTGAAAATCACTTCCTGTTTCCAAGTGAGTTTTTGATTAAGTAAAAAGTCATCCTCCGATGCTGCCAGTGGTTCTAAAAATGGCAAATAGAGATGGCAATGTTCAAGTGATTCATCAGGTCTGAGAAAGTTTGTGTCAGTTTCTGCACCAGTTGACGGCACACAGAAAAACACCTGGTCATTGAGACTTGAACTTGTGCTTTCTAATGTGTTGTCTGACATAAATCAAATTAACTGCAGTTATATCTAGTTAATGGGATTAGAGTGGGGACACAATGTAGGAGACATCAATCTGCGCTGGAAGTCAGCCAGGAATTTGGTTCATTGACATTTCACAGGGTCTCCTTGGCCAGCTGGCAGGGGCTGCTCGTCCATGATGATTTACAGTAATGTTTCCTGATTTTGCTGCAGTAGCTCTGGTACAACTCGCACTACAGAGCAAAGCTAAAGACGACTAATTTAGAACTCTTTTTTCCTCTGCTTTTGTGAATTATAAGGCACAGTTTCTTGCTGAGAGTTGATGAGAAAATTGTCGCAACTTTCATGTCTGTACGCTGTAAATGTATCCGCAGGCAGCTGCCAATTCGCTTATCTTTGCATAGCAGTCAGCTTGTCTCTGATACGAGAAAAAATATCTCACTTCCCAGTACTTCTGCAGATTTTAAAATGTGTTGTTGTTTCATACAAAATATACAACCATTAAAATATGTTGTTATGGGAATATAGGCTTAACAATTTCTGAGCAAAGCACAGTAACTTTCTGGAGTCTTGACGTCAACCTAAGTTGCAAACCTGAAGTCAGTTCAGCAAATGATTTCCCATTCAACCACAAACAATCCTTAACCAATAGGCCCTTGACGGCGTATAACATGCTAAATTGTCGGGATTGAAGCTGGTAGTTACATTTTGCAATCTTTCTAAAACTGAGCCAGGTTAGCTATTATTTTCCCCCCTGCAACTAGTACAGTTAATGCTAAGCTAAGCTAAGCTAATGGCATATGGACTCCTGAAAATTTCTAGAAAATTTCAGGCCGGCTGCCCTGCCCTGAAATCTTCCTGAGTTAGTGATCTCAAGACGGTGATCTCATGAGGCAGGACATGACGTGAAAAAAACAACAGCGTCCGACATTATGAGGCCAGTATTGGCGTCTATGCTCAGTGTAGAACATTCATCATATCATTTCAAGAGCAGAGAAGAACCTACTGGAAAACAGAAAACATAATGAAGAATTTTCATTATGTAAACAGAGATCAGACCAGCAGGACACAAACATCATCACTCCCTTCAAACTCGCTCATTGTGACTTTTCACGGATATTGCCTGTTGCATTTTTACACAAGGTTTTGGGTGGTGTGAAAGCACTATATGGCTTTAAAGTCAGAGTCCCACTGCAAAGAATGCAAATGCCTGTCCCAAATGTTTTTGAACTATTTAAATGAAGATCACGATACATTTTCCATTAAAAACATTCCATCATTCAACAACTAAGAACTAATGTCTGAGTTTAAACAAATTAAGGAACAAAGGGACATGACTGCATTTCTACAAAGTTCTTATCACTGTCACTAATTTCATGTTTACTTTGCATCATTTTTTAATATCGGTAGAAAAGATTCACTTAATATACTGAAAACAGAGGATGCATTAACCAAAGAGCTTTCTACATCGCCTCTAAATTCCTACAAACACTTCTATAAATATTCAGAATCGAAACATACCAGACATTTAAACTGTCATAAATTGTAAAATACTGATATTTATTTGTCAAAAATGCAGCAGAAATGTTTTATGCTTGACACAATCCAGCCATCCGCTGAGTCAATAAACCCATATGAAAAAAAAGAAATCAATCAAACATCCATTAAACGTTGTTTTTATATCATTTTGTAAAAGTTCTTTGCTTGCCATCCACAAGTTTTTCAGCTTTCATTTTTCACGTACTCTGTTGACAATTAAACTAAAATCTCTCATGAAGAAGTTACTTAGGATGAGAGGAGGTTAAATAGGCCTCACTGTGACAAAGCTGCTGCATGGAGTCGCACAGATGAGGCTGGGGGGGGGGGGGGGGGGGGGGGGGTAGGATGGAACATAAGGAAGTAAAGGGTAAAACAGGAAAGAGACAATTCAAGGTTGATGTTAGAGTTCGCTTGTTAGTTGGCATTAGGTTTATCTTTACAATAACAATTAGACAGACAGGATCTCACTTATTCTCATTGTTGATGCCATGATAATAAAACATCTCACATAAATTAAGTTAAATCAACTTTAAGAATGTTGGAAATCCAAAAATGACCACATAGCTGTAACAACTGCCGTCCAAAAGTCCTCACTGTACAGTTAGCTGATAAACTCCGACTTTTGCCTGGAAAAGAAAAAATCAATCTTTATTTCTAATTTCTGTTGGAGTTTGATAAATTAATTTCACATCTTCAAAAGCTTTTCTTAGTGGCATTTGGGGAAGAAAATATTGTTCTATTAGGAGCACATTAGAGCTTTAAAAGCAATACGTCTGAAGGTGTGTTAGCCAACAAAGTAAAGTCTCTCAAACTGTCACACAGCCAGGATGATTAATCCTTCTCAGCTCCATGGGCTGAGATCCACCTTAATTAATCACAGTACACCGAACTCTGGGCCTTTTGAAGTTGGGTGTTTCTAATGCTCAACAGCATCTAGTTTCAGAGAAAGAGAAATGAGATCTTCATGAAATATAGGTTTCTTATTCAATGCCTTTTAAAGGGGAGGGGTTTCAGTCAGCATTAGGTAGTTAAGGCTTATATAACAGAGTCTCTATGAGGTGTGAAACCTAAAGGTCACACAAATACAAATCAAAGCGATCTTGACTTTTCTTTTTGGAACACGCTGTGACTTGGGAAGCCATGAATCTTCTCCACGTGTTTTTCTGTGGTGACATTAATTAGATTGGAGTCATAAAGCGTAAAGGGTAAGGCCTTTAAGGACAAGAATTGAAGGGACACATTTAAGGGGAATGGTGAAAGGGCAGGGAGTTAGGATTAAAGGGGTTAAGGGGTCATGGATTTTTGGCTGGTGCTCAATCATCGAACCATTATTGCATTATCTACACAGTACTAGCTCATCACCCCCCACGGCCAAACAAATAGACAGGATGGTGTGAACATGTCTTATATTTCAACTACTAAACAAGTATCTAGATGTTGACATAGTTAGGAATTATTGAAATGACTGTGCATAGCAAATATAGCCTTTATGTAAAGGTACTGTGTACATACTACAGTGGGTGAGATAGAAAGACAACCAGCCAATTGCTTCAGGACATCTATACAATTATACAGTTAATATCTGAAATGAAAGCAATAATGTGGTTAAATAAGTCATGTTTTAATGCAAGAGCAAGTAAATGCTATAAATCATAATATATCATCTGTATCTTCCCATTCTATTTACAAGAGTTGAACACATAGCTGGTTAGAGTGATTCTTCAGTAAGTCTGACAACACTTCAGAGGCCCTTCCTTCTTCTGAGGATAATATCCATCTTTTGGCAGACTTTTCACTCCTGCTTTTTTACCTATCAATCCATCTCACTTTGTCTTTCTAGTTCTCACATCTGATAAATCCTTAATCCTAATCTCTTTCCCACCATCTGATCAATTTTTCCTTTAGCTACTGTTGAGATTTTTTTTTTATTCTCTTCTCCTCTGTGTGTTTTCCCCCCTCTCGCGTGCTTAAAATGTTGTTATTTTCTTCTTAGCTTAATTTGATCCTTGGCAGATAGGGCCGTCGATCTTTTAATGGAAAAAAATGCTACATTCACATTTCACAGGTTGTTCAAGTCGACATCAGCAGTCTGTGTGTGTGGTACTTCTTAACTAAGTTCTGTGTCTGCGTTTTGTGTCTGCTCTACTCGGCCCCAGCACTGCTTCACCATGCAGCGCGGGTACAGCAGGAGACGTAAGCTGATCCATAACTGACCCTTTGTGGCACAGCACCCCTCCTCTTCCTCCTCAGGTGTAGAAAAAGCAGAAGAGTTCATATCCAAAGAAGGAATTCAAGACACTTGACGGATGTCTCAGCTCGTCTTGTTCTGGGTTAAGAGCAAATGATGCATAGAACTGCATCTCCCAGGATCCAGCTTGTCTTCAGTTCCCCTGACATGCAAACACACAGCTGTCTGTCTCTTCATCCTGTTACTGAAAATGTCTCTCTCACTCCATCTGTAACAATCCTGCAGGGTAATTAGTAGAGGTATTTAAGTCCTTTGTTTTATGTGTGTGTTTGTGTATATGTGTGTGTGGTATGCATGTGCGTTTTTTATGTGTGTGTGTTTGTGTTGTAATTAAGTCTCTGTATCTTGTTGCGGTTATACACGTGTGGTGGAGTGTGTGTGCGTGGAGATGTGTGTGTGTGGCAAGTGTGTATTACTATACGGGCTATGGTGTGTGTATCCCTGGTGCGGATGACCCATCCTCATACCCACTACAGATCCAGGGGTCATGGGGGTCATTGGCGTTGCCGGGGTAACAGGATGCGACCCAGGGGTCACAGGGAGCGATCCCGGGGTCAGAGAGGTCATGAGGGGGACGTCGTCGGGTGAGCGGCGCAAGGTGAGAGTGTAATCAGGCGGGCAGGTGAGGCGCACGGTGTCCAGTGTGCTGTAGATGTCCTGCGTGTCCAAACCGTCCAGAGCGTCCAGCGTGTCCAGAGTGTGATGGTGGTGAGCGTTGTTCCGCTCATCGGCTGACGCAGCATCGCACTCCAGCTGCTTCACCTGAAAGGGTCAACACATGGATGAGTCAAAGGCTAGTTGGGAAGAAGATAAAGAATAAAATAAAAAATAAAAATGTATTGATAAGATGCTTATCACCAAATAATGTAATCAATTCCTCCACTAAAGGGCCTTTCAGATAAGACACGGTGGGCGCCGTGTGCAGCTGTCAAGCGCGTTCATTGTCTATGAGTTGCACCGTGCAAGAGCGTATCTGCTCCACGCGGAGCTGAGCAAGGTCTCGGTTGGCGTTGTTGCATAATGAAGGCGAGCACAGCGCACACAACGTCCTATCTGAAAGGCCCTTGAGGCATATTTTGATTTATTCAAGATTCAAGATTCTATTTATTTATCATTTTTCTCATGTATCTGAATACATAAAAAAGACGAAATGCTGTTCTCCCAGCCCCCAAGCAATGTGACAGAAAGAAAAACATGTTACATATAGACACATAAATATATCTAAAAGTCTACTACAGGATAAAATCTGTTCTAAAAGAAGAAGGTAAAAGAATAACAATAAGAACACCACAGATAATATAAAGTAGAAAAAACTAAATACAAGCAATACCACAGGCAACATACAGTTAGCACCACAGTCAGTCAATCCTTGTCTAAAGTGCAGTGAGTTTTAAAGTGCAGCACATGTCCCTCTGATGCTGGCACTGAAATGAGTGTGACACAGGAGGGGGGCGCAGTTTGTTAATTGTCCTGACAGCCTGTGGAAAGAAACTTAAATAGCTCTATCAGTACTGTTTCACAATATTAAATGTCAACTAATTGTGATTGTGCTCCTGATCCTAATGTCCAAATGTGACATCTGAAAATAAAAAAAAACAGAAAATCTGCATATTGTAAATCTGGAGCAAAAGAAAGAGAAAACAATGTCAATTGACCAAGAAAATAAACTTAATGTTGTAGCCCTTATCATATCATATTGGTGTTGCTGGGCTTCTGCATATGGCCAGAGTCAATACATAGTTTCAATTGATTCAACTCTCATGTGAAACGCCTTCCGTCTTTTTTTTTAATGGAGCTCAGCGTAAGTTCAAGCAGGAAGACTGGTTATATTCTCTCACACATTTATTCAATTTCTTCATTCAACTCAGCCCCTCCCTCACTACCACTTCCACCATCTTCCTGCTCTGGTAATCAGCCGATTTTGGGCGTTCACTCTTCAATAATAATAATAATAATAACTCAATAATCCAACCCGACTCTGCCACAACCTCTTTCAACCAATCATCCTGCCGCGGTCACATTTTAAAACCTGTTCTCTCTCTCGGTCACACAACCCGGTCACCTCCATTCCTGCTCAGCAGAGTTCAGATACAGCCTCAGAAACCCACTCCTCATCACATCCTGCATTCTTCCATCACCACCACCACCACCAGGGTCTAGACTCCGTAAGAGGGCATCCTATCCTGCTGTCAGCCTCATTACCCCTCCGAGTACATGATGTCATCATGATGGAGTCTGATCCCCAAAGACTTTGCACATTTATTTCCTAAATTGTTAAATAAATAATTGTTCATTCTTAATTAAGTCTCTCCTGATTGAAATCCAGTTTACTGAAAGTTATGCGAAAAAACCCTAAAATCACACTCTAATAAAAATGTCAACAGAAGGAACAATTTCATCAAAATAACTCCAGCAGATAGTTGGGGGACTTAAGTCAGATTTATTTTCAAAGCTGCATCTTGCAGCAAAACCAGCAAAGCTTCAAACCAAATACAGAGTTAAAGTTATATTCAAAATAGATCACCACTTTTTGTCAGGATCTGACAGCTCTGCTTGACTTAGAGAGACATTTTGTGCTGCGATGCATTTTATCCCTTTGAGAATTTTTTCATAACACAAGAACACTGCACATGGCAATAATATATGCCAATACAAAAAGAGACTGTGCTTGGCTGTCGCTTGTCACACCAGATCTACCATTGGTGTACACAATCAGCACATTGCACCACATGAAAAGAAGTGACATTTAAAATAAATAAAACACCATCACAAAAGCAGCCGCAGCGTTGAGCTACATTATGGTAGTTCAGTTTCCAATTAAGAGGATTTGTCAGCTACAAAAGAGATGTGACATTTAGCACTCACTGTGGGACATTTTAAAGCAGCTAAAAGAGCTCGAAAAGAGGCCAGATAGTCAGAGGATGAATTGGAGGCAATTGGAGGCAATTCAGGCAATTGGACACGGCTCACTCATGTACATGCATCAAAACACACTGGCACACACACGCACACACATTCAGACAGAGAAAAGTGTGCAGCTGATGACGGGCTGTGATTATTATTTTATTTTTTTAAGTGCTCTGCTGGCAGCTACCTCACAGTTCATTCAGACTATCGCACACACATGCTCAACTGGTTGGATAAACTTGAGATATTCAAAGTGTGTTTCACTATTACCAATGAGAAAAATGCAGCTACAGAAACATACCTGTAACGACATCAGACCCTCCCCCTGCAGGTGTGCAGCGACATCAGCGGCTGTAATGTCTCGTCTCGGGGGAGGAAGTGGGCGAGGCCGACGGTGCTCCAGACGCCTCTTGTCTTTTTTGTACAGCAGAGCAGCGAAGGCGAGGATGTTCAGAAACAACAGCGAAGCTCCCACTGCAATCGTCACTGAGAGCTCGGTTGAGTAGTCCTCATTCGGGACACGAACCCCCTCTTCCCCTCCACCTTGGCCTAAAGCGGACTCTGGCGGCTGCGGAGTACCTCCTTGTGAGCCTGGATGGCGAGTGCTGCTGGGAGGCCAACCTTTGGATAGACGCTTGGTGTAAGAGTAAGGAGTGTCATCCTGTGGGGAGGGACTATGCGTGAAGGAGGACACTGATTGGAGGAGCTCGTTGACGTGATGCAAGTGAGGGACCAGCTGCAGCCAGAAAGAGATCTTGGTGGCGCGGTAGTGGTCTCTGACTCGGGGTTTTAGGCCGATGTGGAGGTACAGCTGCTCTTTGGGGGTGTACTTAGACCAGGCCACTTCTTCAAAACGGTTGGGCTTTGTGTGGATGAACTTGGTATCTTGAGGAACTGGCTGGTTTGGGTCTCTGGAAAGCATGAAATAGAGGAGATTATTTATTCACATGGAGGTCAGGTTGCATGTGGTTGTGGTGGTTATGTAAGATTTTAGTTTTTTTTATAATTTATAGAAAGCAAAAAGGGGGGATTAATTATTTGTGCTGGGCGAGACATTGCTTTTTATCCCCTCAGAACTTGTTATTGCACAAAAAAATGGAATGAAAAAAGACACGGGGAAATAGAACATGAAAAAAAACAATTGAAGTTAATCACAGCAGGATTTAATAAACCACAAGGAAATACAGAGTTTCCGAAAACATATCAAAATGCAAAGGTAATTTAAAAAAACATTTAAAATAGTCCTATATTTTAGTTTTCTCTCCAGCACATTTTCATTTCAAGTTCAAAAACAATTTATATCGGTTGTAGTGTCAACTCAAAATAAAACCTCAAAGGACCCCAGGACTCTAAGTTTATGACTCGAGCTTTCAGTGAAGACAAACTTCCATAGGATCCAAATGAGGAGACAAGGTAGATGTAAAATGAAACAATCAGACGATTTATTCCACTGCTCTTATCACTACTTGTGATACTTGTAAATGGACTTGAGCTAAATTATTCTGACTATTCAAAGTGCTTACATCACATGTCACAATCGTCCATTTACACACTGACTGTTGTTGTGAAAGTGTTCATCAGTTTAAGCTAATCCATTCATACATATATGTATCAGCAGTCACATGTATTGTCCAACACATGTAAGTGAAGGAGCTCGGGATTGAACCTCCATCCTTCCAGTTGAGAGACGACCGACAGCCGTACACGACTTGTTTTGCAAGTTGTCTGTTACAATATTGGCGACGGTCAGAGATACGGTTGCTCCTTGTCTCGTTGAATGCCTTCTCCCAAGAGCATGAGCCAACAGGTGCCCACATGGCAATTTACAACAATTACCTGCACTTTACCTCAGCAGGGTCAATTTGAGGTGGCAGAGCAAACTTAAGGGAACATAGATATCTATATTGATCTGCTTGATAAACAGAAATAATATCAACTTAAGATAAAAGTTCAATATGAATGAAGGCTTCAAGCAAAAGTAAAACTTATGTCAACTGTAACAACATTAATTATTATAATGAGGCACAACCAGGCTACTACTGACAAACTCTTTTTGGCTATCAATCTGATCAAAATCACAAGACTGAACCCTTAAACTGAAGTAAAATAATTCCAGTCTTTAACACAGAGGCCTGTTATCACTCTTTGTAATCAACTAGATCCTGATAGATGTTTTCTTAGCCGCCTAAAAACCTGGAAAGAATGAGTGAGTATCTCTCATGCAGTCCAAGAGTTTCACCAGCGTTGGCCTTCCACACTATTTTCTGATCAATATCCAGTAACAGAAGAAAATCCAGCGGCTAAAAAACTGAAAATGTTATTTTCAGTAAACATAGCTCAAGGGTGATTTAGCTACAGATCATTGATTTGTGTCCAGTTTATATGCCTCAGTAAATGCTCCCAAACTCCTGCAGATTGAAAAAAAAAAACGGTGGATATTTGCCCCTATGGCAAACATAACATTGTTAGGTATCTTTATTGGAGATGAATGTGTGTTGTGGTATAGTGAAAATCGAAATCAAACTAACTTCTCTGACACATACGGACAGGCATCTACTTGATGATTTATCCATTTATTTTTGCCGGCAGCAAAAATGTGGTAAATGAAACAGCAGCTCATGGAAACAGACTTGCCAGTTACACACTATGTGCTCACTTGTCAATCAGCACCTTATGAAGTGCACAAAAAAGCAGCTAGCGTAAAGACCCACCGGCACGCAAAAAAAACACAGAGCAGCTGAGGATTTACACGCCCACACGGAGGCTTACAAAACATACATCAAGGAGAATTGTATCCTCCGCCGTTAAATTGAGCTGTCGCACAGTTCCATCACTATCTGAGGCACTCTCAACTGAGTGAAATCTTACTTTAAGGAAAGTCACCCACTGATAAATGAAGGGAACAAAGAAATCTTTTCTTCCCTCATTGGTGAGTTTTCTCTGTAGACTAGGGATTAGAAACTGATAATTGAATGCAGTGTGATTCCTTATAGCAACAGTGTCGAAAACAGCAAGGGAAGGTAATTTTGAGATGAAAAATATTGATAGAATAAAACAATTATATTCAAATAAAGCAGCATTGATCTTGCTTTTTTACTTTCAGAAGAAAACGTTGCCTTTTTTTAATTGATGTCCCATTGAAGACCTGACCTTGATCTTAATATTTTCTTGTGCGATTTGACTTTAAACTGTATAAAACATGGACAACATTACACCTTCCAAAAGTGAAGCCAAAATATTTGAAGCTCCCCTTGCTGACTGGCTGCAGTATATGGCATACTTTTTTCCTCCTCCATGTTAACAGAGGTCAAACTAGAAAATCAAATGGGTTGGTTGGACAAGGTTTCTGTCTTTATAGTTCATTATTATCATGCTGATTTCTGTCTGAGTGCCTCTGAGTGAGAAGTTTAGTTTTACTTTTTTATTTGATGCTGTATTAAAGAGGTATAATGCCATGACTGACAGCTCTGTTGACCAATGTGGCTCCAAAATGAGCAGAGATGAGGATGAATGTAAAGTATTGTGAGTATTTTTTAAACAAAACAAGACCATGTTCTGCTGTTGATGGTACGAACCTGAGGGATCTTTGCCATTTTATCAGAAACCCTTCTGCACATACTCTTATTTCAAGTGGTCATTCGCGCAATATGTCAGCACCTGTCACAGTGGTATTTGGGCTTCATTTTTGTACAACGGGAGGAGTCGGAGTCTCGTCGTCCATCTTTATTTAAAGCCAATGGATACAATTGGTGGGTTCATTTGTTTAAAGGTGAAAATGTCAGACAACATATAAAAATGTTATTCTGACAGTTTATTTTCTAGGAGTTGCTAAAAGTGTCAAATCAGTTTGTTGAAATACAATTAGATGATGCTATCAGCAACTTACTGTTAGTTATAATGAGAATAAAACCTAGAGAAAATGAATGATGTTGGTTGCCACTATCACAGACTGCCAATTTCCGTTAAAAGGATGCTGATTGCCAATGTAGAAAAATTTGTGATGCCAAACATGAAGGCTAATTAAGGCCATTCAAGAGGACATCGAGGGAGAAAGCTGTCTGAAGAAGTTGCCCTAATGTTGTTAGTTAGCAGCAACGACAGAAAGTATGCTATTGCTTTTTTCCTCTGTGACTCAGGCTAAGGTAGCTACATATAGCAGGCTGTTGCTAGCTAGCTATAGAGTTGTAAGCTGATTTTCCATACTAACATTTGATGAATCTGCTTAACTATAAGTCTTTTTTTGTAAATCCACAAAGGCTTTTTTTCTGGGGGCCATGTTTTGATTCATGGTTGTTATTTTGTTAGTTTGCATTTGATTTGTTAATGTGAAGAATTAATTGAGCTGCTTGTGTTGCAGTAAATAATTGCTAGTGTTTTTTTGTCATTAAAATCTGCTGCAAACAATTCTGCCTCCCAATAGATCCCCCAATCACAATTCCTTGGCACTGCTTCTGGTGAAAGACAGTTTTCTTTAATGCCCCACTCTGAATATGTGAGAGCACCGTCCTAATTCTGGATGTTGTGAGATAGCAAAGGCTCGGTGGTGATTTAGATCACGGTCTAGACTACAGATGTCTGTGTAAATCTGAAGAGGTCTCAGCGGAGTGAGTCTCGATTGGATTAATTACGGGTAATTACTCTCTTCGAGCACTGCAAACAGAGGGTCCATCCTCAACAATTACTTTTATCTTGTATATCATGTCACAGTGGACAGATAAAAGGTACTCTTATCAGGACCGACTGTCGGCTTTTAAGGTTTTAATGTGGATCCTTTCTACAACAACTGTAGTTTTCTTTGCTCCTGGCACATCATTTCACTTTCAATTAATAAATTGGATCTCTAAAAGCTTTTTGAGCTGTTGGCAGATAATTTTAATTTTGATTTAACATATTGTATAAGCTCTCTATCTCATTGCACCAGTTTGGGCCAATTTAGGGCGCAGAAAGAGAAGAGAAGAGAAGAGAAGAGAAGAGAAGAAGAGAGAAGAGAAGTCACACAGTGGCCAATCCTTCATTCTTCTTTTAGGACATTACCTTGGCTTCCCTCAAGAACTTTTCAAGAGCAGAGCATCTTTAATGTTCTCTGCCAGGGTCCAAAGAAGAAAAGCCTTGTCAAGATATTGTCATGACAGAGAACTTGTGTTCACCCTCTGCCAAAATTAGTCTGCAGTGCTTTTTTCACCATTGTTTTAAAAGGCCTGTCTTTCTGTCAGACACCAGAGGCCTATTGAAGGAAGAGACGTATGAAAACATATCGTTCGCCTGTGAGCTCATTATTTTTGTTGCTCTAAAACTCCATTGTCTTCCTCTTACACATCATTAAATCTCGGCTTCATCCAGTTCCAAAAAGACATTTCAAATAGAACCTTACATCTGAAAAAACATTTTCCTTTGTCATTAAGACTGCACTTGTCTCGATAGAAATCTCAAGAGAGATATATTAAGGTAGAACTGTATCTGGCATGCATTTACCACAGTTTGCAGCTATTGCATTTTCCATAATTGCAATCGTATTAAGGGAATACATTTGCTCAATCCTACAAAATACTCAAAAGCTGTTATCTTGTTTTCAGTAATATTGCTAATTAAAGCACAGAAACACCATATGGTGCATGGAAACATGGATACAGTCTCAGTGATGTCCACTGAAAAAAGGCATAATAAATCCCAACAAGTAGGGCTTGCCATATTGAAAATTGCTGACTAAGTTTCGGCCAATCTAGTTAAAGACAAGACAGTGGAGCAGGGACAGGCCTTCAGCCTCCTGGCACACAGCTACAGCGCGCCCACCTGTCAGTCCACTCAGTCTGTCCTTTAATTAGTCAAAAACATATAAGTTAGATAAACATGTGCCGCCCTTCAGTTTTACCAATAAAGAAATGAGCTAAAGAGACAAAACCTTCAAACCAGACTGCAAACATGTTTAATTGTAGTGGAAAAAATGGGCATGTGTGGCTTAAAGGAAGAATATGTGATTTTTCACACTGTGAAAGTGTGAAAAATCGTAGCAAAAAACAAGTATATCCTCTGAAAATAACTCTGTGAGTCATGACTGTCTACAATGAGTGTGACAACCAAGTCCCGCTGTCTGTGATGCTTTCCGAGCCGTAGCCTGACTTTGCCAGGACGTCCGGCCGACTCATCCCCTCGCGTATAAAAGTTGTTTAATTGAGGGACTAGAGAAAAGAAGAATAACATACTGTACTCACTGCTTAATTGAATGTCATGTAAGCATTTTTAGATCACGGTCATTCCGTGTAAATTGACATGCAGTGTGAAGATACAAGCTAACTAAAGCTCACTAGCATTAGCATGCTAACACAACAATGCAGCGTGAGTTGTTTTGGTTTCATGCTGGTGCTCAAGGGCGACATCTGCTGGATCAAAAAGTGGCATATTCTTCCTTTAAAGATCCTGTGGAGAAACGTGTTTTGTAACTAAGTAAATTGAAACAAAACATCTCAGCCTGTTGACTGTAACAGTGAAATGTGTCACTGTATCATGAATCTCTGTATTGTAAAATGTAAACAAAGGCTGTTTTTGTCCGACACCTACCCCTTGATTCAACTTCAAGCTAAAAAAAAGTAACAAATAAGAACTTTTCATTTTGTCTCTGATGGTTTTGTTTGAGTTTGTTGCTCATTAAGAGACATCAGTACTCATTTCAGTCTGTTTCATTACCAGCTAAAAACTCCTCACAGCAGCTTTAATGGGGATTATCGGTATTTGGAGCAAGGCTCAATATGGACACCCGAAGAACTACCGTTTTTTGCACTTCCACATTGGCTTCATTCTTCAACAATGGAGGTTGCCTCTTGGGGTTTTATTGCTGGATCCATAAACTTGAGTCTTGATTTTCTTATTCTGAGTCTACATCAATACAAACTGTTCACTGTAACACATCAACAAGATACATTATGTTCCTAAATGATTGTCTCACTGTGTGAAGGTAAAAGGAAAAATAATGACTGCTGCGTATTTTCTTTTACATGTGAAATGTCATTACTTGTCCTGATTAGATATTAATAGCAAAAATTAGGGCAGAAATAAAAATAATCAAAGTTGTGCTTTGTTTTATCATGCTTTCTTGTTATTGTCTATAAAGAAAAAGGAGGAATAAAACTCTTCCAAGAATGGTTATTGGACTGAATTCAGCGTCTCACACCAGGGATCGTTTTAATAGCTCACCCAGTCTTGGCAAAGTTGGTCCAGTAAGTCATGACTACAGCGCTCAGCATCACGTCGTTCTTGGAGAAGTTACAGTTGAACAGATCAGTGGGTCCCACCATGGGCACACCAAAGACATAGGGCACCTATACACATACACACACACACACACACACACACACACACACACAAAAACAAACAGACAAACTTTAGGATAGCTTACTGTCAGGGCAAACAGATTACATTCATTCTCTAGACAGTAACTGGAGCCACAACTGAATTATGTGAAACTCTAACCTCATCACAGTGAAGAAAGAAATCGCCTCATGTGTAACTGCAGTGAACCTAAACTCAGGTCACTAAATTCATCTTCATTTTGACAGCTTATCCCCAATAATCTGGACTGAAACCCACCCTCACAAACAGCAACTACAAATGCATGCACGCAGTCACTGAGCTGAACCTAAAGCCGACAAGTAAGTCCTTCATACAAAACTGGAAAGAAGATTAATTGATTCAAACTGTTAAGCATTTTGAACAAATTAATATAAAGCAGGCCTTTAAGCATAATCCAAACCCAGAGCTCCTGATTTATTTGTTGAATATTTAAGAAAGCTTTGAAGTGTTTGAGTTAACTCCATTTTTGCCTCAGTCTGTTTTACAATTTAAAACCAAAGATACAGACATTTTTTTCCATTACTAATTATATATCTGTATATCTGATATCTTGTCTTCTCCCAACTTTTAAGTACATGTTGTTGCTGAATAACAATATATCAAGGCACCGGCTTCTTACCTCGTCACCATGGGCGGAGTCAGCCCACGGCGGCGTGGCGTCACTCTGGCAGTGGTGGTAAAAGGAGTAGAAGTAGGTGGGGGATCCATACTGAGCGTGCAGGTCAGCAGTGGCGATGGCTGGAGCAACCCATTGGTGGTCTGTGAATAATGCCACCAGGGTCTTCCGGCGTGTTTCTGCATTGTCGCGGTCCGCCCAGTCCGTGTACATAAACCTTTAGAGCAGACAAGAAGCCAGTCTACTATTGAAGTGTGCAAGACTCAGTTATGTTTTCATAAAGGAATTCATTTCAGATCTAATAGAAAAAAGTAGGTGAATATACAAAAATCCATTTACTGTAAGAACGGCATTTCATATTTTGGTTAACATGCTTCTTCAGTTTCTTGCAAAGCGCTAGATCTTATGTGTGGCCGAGTTCCCTCTCTCTCTCTGTTTCTCCGTCACCTGCTGCACACCTGAGTGCAACATGTTCTCAGGGAGGATAGGGGTATTTAGAGGAACCAGGGGCAATCATTCTGGGCAGCATGGTGAGGAGCTTTTAATCCCCATATTACTTTTATACTGTTTCCCAATTTAAAATTTGTGTTTTCACTCATGCATGTTTAGATTGGTGGGTTTTGTTGTTTTAATTTAGGCTGGAGGTACCCGTTAGTCCTATTTTCAGTTTACATGTTTTTCAGTAGGTTAGTTGTAGTTTAAGTGGGAGGTGCCGACAGATAAGACCCATTGCAAGGTTGGCTTGGCGCCTTCCCATCTTTTGGTCTCCAGACCAATTTTATATTTATATTATTGACAAAAAAAAATGGACAAGTAAATCAACACAACTAATGCATACTCGTTAAAGAACGTTCTAGCTGGTAATAAAACAAACTAAAATCAAGACTGGTGCCTCTTTGTGAGCTACAAAAGCAAATGAGCATAAAGATATATTTTTATACATGGTTCTTTTCAATGCCTCAAACCACTGCAGCATGTGAGGTAGCTATCAGTCCACTCTAATAACAGCACAGTGCAGAAAAGAGCTTTTTTCTTTTGCTCTGCAAAGATTCAAGGTGAGTGGTACATTTTGCTGTTCAAAGAAAGCAGGATGGGTTATTTTTTCTATGTATAAGTCCAGGACATACTCAACAAAGATAAGAGGTCCTGCTTTATCCACTGGGGTCACCAAAATAGTCACAAAGTGAAAGTTCATCACATGAGCGTTAACAATGGTTTGATAAATTGATGTGCAAAAAAATGAAAAAATAACAGCAACTAGTTGTGATTTTACAGTATGCATTGTGCTTAACTATTTCTGCTCTGTCCATTGTGATGACCAGATCACAGCATGTCACCATGTCAAAAAGTGAAAGTAGCCAACACAACCACAATTTCACACTTCAAAACGTGTATCTAATTGAAAAGCAAGGTTAAACATGTTAATAGCCTAAGTAAGATTTAGTAGAGCTGCAGGTTTTGTTACCTTTCAACAGAGCCAACGTAGCTGTTCCTTATGTTGGGCTAACAAACTCTTGACTTTAACTAAAGATTTACCCACAGACATGAAAGTGGTATCAATGTTCTTCCATTACATTTTGCCAAAACATTCAAACACATCTCTATAAGCTAAACTCTTGAAAAGAAAGTAGAATTTACACTATGGCATGGACTTTTTGGTGTTGTAAGTGTTTGTTTTCTGGTTGTAGTTTTAAGAGTATAGGCTACTAACAATCCAGTTGGTTGTATGTAGGACATGTGAAGAATAAAGAGGTTTGAATCATTAGATATCCCCAAACCTATCAGCTATAATTGGGTGACAATTTATCTTTTTATTAATGGCTATTAAAATATGTCTGCATTTGAGTGCACAGAACATTAAGTCCTAGAAGCATCTCTTAACTTTATCTCCATTTTTGTGTTCCGCAGTAGCTAGCCTCAGTTTAAACAATGATGCAGCCTAAACCTCAGGAGATCTTGGTCTGGATATCAGTTATCTGAGTAACACCTAGCCCAAACAGACACCTCAAAATATTGACCTTGCTGAAGGAGGCTCTATCCACCTGCGATGACTAAGGACAGGTTTTGATATTGAACATTTCCAGACTCACTCACCTTATGCTCTCTCTCAGCGTGTCTCGGCCCTCTGGGTATCCGTATAAGCTATCCACAAAGTCTGACACAGCAAAGTCAAAGTCCTCAGCCGTGACACCGTCCTCCGAGTCCACGATGCCCTCCACAAACTTCACGCCCTCGCCCTGATTAACCCCCAGCATCACGTCGTAGTTCAGAAACTCTCCCTGCTCCATCAGAATCTGGGGGTCATCCGGTATGACATCGCCATCAATCACCGGGGCAAAAGCCGTGTGATACTTGGCCGGCGTCACGTTCTGCTCCACAAGTTCCCGGTAACTTCGCCCCTGGAGGCAGGCGACCAGTTGGGTGCTGTCGTCAATGCCGCAGCCCACCCTCTCGCCGAGCTGCCGGGCGTACTTGCTTGGCTGGTAGTTGACGGCCCAACTGGCTAAAGCGCTGCCGCTCTGAATGATGGCTCTGTGGAACAGGTCTGACACACACATGAATGCACACATGAATGCAAATAAGGGAGTCAAAATAAGCCTATATATACAGAGGCTTCAACCTGTATAGGCCCACATTTATGTATACACATGCACCCACACATAAAACGTGCATGAATGCTCAACCATATGATTACACACTTGGAGGGTCACACAATCGGCCTACATGTGCACACATAAACAGATGCAGAACAAGCATTCCAACAGCTACACAAAAAAAAATCTCTGGATGACAGGTCATGGTGAGAGCACCAGGTTCATGTGGGTAAGGGTTAAAAGATTTAAATAATGCAGCTGGTAGCTATGTGAGTCAGAGTCAGGCTGTATCATTCAAGGCTTATTCAGGCTTTTCTATCAGCAATAAAGCTCTATCGTACCAATGGAGACCTTGAATTGTGTCACCCACCTAAACCAGCCATCTTAGGTGTCCAATTCTCTAGCTGCCTTTACTCGCCGTCTATTAAATTTTTTTTGCAAAATATAATGTGCTATAAATGGGACTTTTTCTTGGAGAACCTCTGAGGATTGCCTATCATTTTCTCAAGTTAATGGCAAATTCTGAGCATGTCTCAAAAACAGTCCGAGCCGAGAAACAGTCCAAGACATATCCCAAAGTAAAATTACAAAAATGTCAATTTCCAACCTTGATTTTTACAAAGATTGGAAGCCAGGCATAACATGTCAAAATGTGCTAAACTGGACGCAACGAGAGGGAATTAGCTTGACTTAAAAAAATAACTATTCGAATCCCTAGTCTTTCAGTTGCATAATCTTTTGGCTGTATAGATTTTTGAGGTCAGAAGTGTTCATACATTTATTTATTTATATATTGGAGAGCTTGAAAGGTTTGGAAACCCTAATTATCACAACACCCACCACAAAACCCATCATTTGTGCCCAACAGTCCCCCAGCCTTATCTCGCAGTTCAAAAATGATTTAACACATGTTGAATCATTGAAACTGAACAAAAAACACTAAAACTAAAAGCAGGTTTTCCTTACCCTCAGAGTAGTGTGATAAAGTGAGCAGGCTCACACAGGACGCTCCGGCCCCTGATCCAAACACCGTCACCCTGTTTGGGTCTCCGCCGAAGGCTGCAATGTTCTCCTTCACCCAGCGCAGGGCCTGAATCTGATCCAGCAAGCCGTAGTTCCCTTTTGCAGCCTGGTCGCCTGTACTTAGAAATCCTACAGACAAAGAGAAAGAGGTTAAGAACAAATAGCAGTTTGGTTTTAAGATGTAATTGCTTTGGAGAGAAAATGAGCAACAATTTTAAAATCATGAAGCGATCAAACAAAGATTTTTATTGCAATAGGACCTCTTCATTTTATAATGTACAAAAGCACACACGGTTGCTGATTCTTCATCATGGCTCCCACACAAGTCAAATCAATAATGCATGAGTCTGCTGGCCATACATTTAAACCAGAAAAAAAAATGTTAAAATGACGAAACTCCTGCACAAACGCACAAAAAGGATCTAAACAACAGCTTTGTTCACATTCATGTTGGTGAATACCTTGAACACACTCTACACACACACACACACACACACACACACACACACACACATGCAGGTACAAAGACGACTATCCCTTATTCCCTTTTCTGCTGACGTTGTAAAGTCAACACAAAGGATCCTAATGGCTCACTCCACCACGGTATATCTCATTACTGCAGACGCTAATTTCTCTGAACCTCAAGCTGGCCCTGAGCACATATAAGAGTATAATGAGCAAGAAAGGGAAAGGCTGTGAAAATAATACATTTAATTTACTTATGTGCAATTATGCAGAAACCTACCTCATGCAGAAAGCACACATTAAGGATATTTCATTAATCCAATGGTTATTACAGTACCATGATGCCTTATTAAATACTGTTTGATGAGCTTTTTGTAAGATTTCTTTGTAAAAGCTTCCTTTTTTTTTTTTTTTTTAATTTTTGTTGAAATATCTCCCAGTACCCGTGATGAAGATAAGAAAAAATGTGCAAAGTTGTAAAAACGACTCACCTCATGCATCCACCGTATGATGACAATAATGATGAGGAGGAGGAGGAGGAAGATGATGACACTGATGTTGGACTGATGGTGCTGATGATGATAATGATGATGATGATGATGATGGTGTTGACCACAGAAGAGTTTGTATAAACACAAAGGATGGAGATAACAAAAATAAACATGCAGGATTGGTTTTGTCTAGCTAGATATGGTCGTTACACCTGTAGCAATTTTATCCTCAAGACATCATCTACCAAGCAGATTTAGATTATGACATATACAACCAATACCTGTGGAACGCTTTGAAATGATGGGTCTCATAAACCGATATTAGTTTACCTTGTTATATTTTGTTTAACTTTTTCAATGACTTCAACTCTACTACATTGCATTTCAATAAGACTCTCTCTCTCTCTCTCTCTCTCTCTCTCTCTCTCTCTCTCTCTCTAATTAAAGCAAAACCGCACAGTGGCCTTCCCTCAGGACCAGAAACATCTCATACAGTATTAACAGGCTTTGTGTGTACACATGTTCTACAAAATATGCTAAAAGTGCAGGAAGAAAGAAAACAAAATAACTGTACTGAATATTTCAGAGAGAAGTAGCAGCCAAAGGTTGTGAGAATGCTTCCTTTACCTTGATTGTTTATAATAAGCAGATTTTGATTGGTTAAATTTACGTACATACATTTAAAGAGCACTGTCACCTTCTATCACATCAATCCACATAATATGGGAGATTAAAGGGATAAAGGAACTTGGATTAAATCACTTTTAAAATGACAAATTAAGCTAAAATAAAAAACAACGAGGTCAAACTTAAGTTTAGTGCATGAGTAAAGGATTACTAATACATGACTCATGATGATTTAATGCATGAATTAAGGTGGAATGTCAGTAATTTATTCTGTTCAACAACAAAAAAGATAACTTCCCAACTATTTTATGTGATTAATTTACAGTTTAAAGGTCATGAGTTACGAAATGTTTATTCAGTGACTGAAATATAATCAATGTGCATTATGTCAGTGAGTTCAGTTACATTCACATTTATTTGTGAATCTATATTTATGTATTAATGTTAATCATTGACCTCTCTGCATCTGACTGACCAGTTTGATCAAAACCAGAGCTTCATATTTCTAACAGTACAGAGAGGCTTTCAGATAAGCTTAACTTTTGTATGAAATCAATTTTTTTTAAAACTTGACTCCAGATCATTCGATCGCATATTGATCATAAGAATAAATAACTGTGAAAGACAGATCCAAAGCATCTGAACATTTTGTCTAACTTGGTGTTCCAGAGTGTCAAAGGAATGTGTCTTATTGGTGCAAATGATTTATTCATGGGCTCAATGCCATTCTTACTTGAGATGAATTAAGGATTTAATCAATCAATAAATCAATCAGTCTCAGTATTTGAATAGCGCCAACTATAACAAATGTTATCTCGAGGCACTTTACAAAAGAGCAGGTAAAAGACCTTACTCAGCGTTATGGTACAAAAGAGTAGGTAAAAGACCTTACTCGTTGATTAAGGTGAATTGGGGCCTTTTGTCAATTCATTTTTGTATTTTGTATGTCCTGAAAAATGCAGCTTCTCTGCTGAAATCATCAAATTTGATTAAGAAATGATCCAAAGCAAATGGAAAATAACAGTAAATAATGCAATAAATCATCATGAGTCATGCACCAGGTAAACATTATTGTGTGTTATTGATACACTGAAGTTAAATGTTATCATTATAGAATTATTTGCATATTTTTGACCTGATGGCACATTCTGTTTTTCATGTGAATTACTTAATAGTGGGAAATTCCTAATGAAAGTGAGCATTTGAGTTAACCCAGTAAATAAAATAATGTTCACCTCTTGAATCTGACTTATGTAGGAAGAACACATAATGCTCGGGCCCTCACTGTTTGACTCACATGATGCCTTACATGTATCTTTTTAAACGCTACTGTGGCCCTGCTCATGCTGGGTATTGTTCATAATTACGGCAACAAAAAGCCTTAATGTAAGGACTCTGAGATATTCAATTTATTCAGCCTGTGAGCTGTGCATGATGGTCTAAAATTAGAAAAACCTCTGGGAATCAGATTTTCCCCGTTCAGAGAGCAATGAGTCAGAGAGTCATGGAGGTAAAAAAGGATCAGATTTGAGTCAGTGCTAGTACTGGAAATGGCTTCAGGGGCTTTATTTCCGCTAGGGACACCCATACTGAACATGCTCTCACTCCAACAACAAAAAAAGAAAAAAGCAACGAGGCACACAAACAGTTTTCTGCTTTTAAGAGCTTGTCGAAACATTAAAGCAGATGGTGAATTAAATGCAAATGAGACCAAAAAAAAAGGAATGTAAATTTCTATAAAAGGAAATAGCATTTCCATTTAACGTTTGCTTTTCTTAAACATCCATAGATCTGACTCATAAACAAGCTATTTATGACCAGATCTGGATCAAGCCGTTATTGTGGATATGACTCACGCAAAGCATTGGATAGAGAATTGGATTAAAATGCAATCCAGAGTTTAACTCGAGTGTCTAATAACAGATCTCACCTACAAAAAATGACGCATTTCTGTTAAGTGAAAATGTAGATTGTTATAAAACAAGCTGTGATGTGGATTTGGGTATTTCATTCTAAGCATCTGATACTCGCTCCAGTGTGACAATTAAGTGTTTTCTGCATTTCACAAATGGATGTTGATTGTGTTAACTATTTAAAATTACAATGTTTCCAAGTTGATCAGCTCATTTTTCAAATGACAGTTGGACACATTGAAACAAAACACAGTTTTCTTACTCATGCTCAACAGAAAGAGTACTTATCTTTCTTCATTACCATATGCAAATTCACATTGACTGAGCACAGTTTTCTAAAAATTTGACAGTTAACGGTCGTAAATATCTTTGTGATTAAAATAGATTGTTTCTTCTGAGATTAATAGTTTTACTCTACAAAATATGTGAGAATCTTTCATTGTTAAAGTCACCACATGCAGAACATTAAATCTCATTTCATATGGAGTCTGTTTAGATCTGATAGATTTATTAATTAAGTGTCAGGTGTGGCAAAACAGAAATGATCAACCAGAACAGTTACTCCTATCATTGTAAGTTCATTTAGTAACTGTAGTATAGTGTAGTAAATGAATGCATGTGTTTTGATTCTATTGTTTCTTTTTGTTCTTGAAGGCTACATTTTGGTCCAATGCAGTGATTAATAATACATTTGTAATGTTTCTCTGTTAGTTACTACATTTTAATTTGTTGTGTGAACATTATAGGAAAGATTTAAAATCCTCGTCTCATGTTACATTTTAAATCCAAGCAGGCCCGGCATTTAGGGAAGGACAGACAGGGCAAGGCGTGCCCATTTAACGTGTTTGCACTCTCAGCTATCACAAATCAGAACTTTCTAATCGAAAAAAAGGGTTGTGTCCTATAATGTTGTATGTTTACTATAGCTTGGATCGTTGCATTCTGTTGTAAAATGGATATCAGAGAATGGTTTAAAACAAAGAATTCATCAATCTTGGTGAGAGAGCTGCAACATCCTCAGATGACCCCACACCTGCAGCAGCTACAGATGCTACAAATGCTAGTTTAGCTCCCGACCAGCTTCAGCTTTATTAGCATCAACAAGTAGAGGAGTGACAGGGACCAGGGGGCTGAGTAGACTATTTTTCAAAGTTTACCTTTTGTGCTGTTCTGTGCTAATGGTTGTGTTGCCCGTGGTAAGCTGGTTGGATAAGTAAAGAGACTACAAAGCTGCTATTATTGTTTTTATGCTTCCTGCATTATACAACCCTATACGTAATAGCTTTTCATATGTTGTTGTCTAATTGTGCGTCTTTACACAGCGCCACTGGTCTTGCAGTTCAGCTTTTGTGCATCCCCCACCCCAACCCCCATCTTAATCACATGCCCTCTGTACATGTATTCCCTGGCGCCAGAGCTGAATCCAAGTGCTCTGCTGCTGTTAGCTGTGGGGAAAAAATAAAGTCTAGACCTGCTATGTGTGTAAAATGTGATGAGATAACTCATTTTATGATTTGGCGCGACATCATTTAAAAATTGACTTTGCTCTGATTTACAAATTGGAACATGAAACCTCAGAGTGTTTAAACGAGCATCTGAGGAGTTAAACTTTGATACGCAACTGACACAGTAAGCTTCAGACAAACAACAGGCTGCTGCATTTGGCAAGAAGTGTCAGTAAGAAAAATAAAGGACCAAAAAAAATGTTTAAAAAAACACACTTATTCTGTCATTCTGAGCATGCATGCAAATGTTTTGTGCTGGTTTTACACTGTCTCAGAAGTAAATGTCATTTTGGTGGCAATGACTAATTCATTGGCACAACGACTGACATTTGAAACATGGACTACAGCTTTTGAGTGAGTTACAGACTTTTCAAGTAAAAATACATTGTTGTGAAAGGTCATGATAAATGCACAGGCGAGGTCATGATTTTTCAGATAGGCACAACCAAATTTCTTTAAGGATTTGGAAACATAAACAGACAGTGGTTACACTTGCAGATTGAACTGTGGCTTGTTTTAAGTGTGCACTCTTCCAGTGCCTTTCTACTTTCAGTTCAAAGTGCTCTATTGTGTGTTGTTGGGGGTCTGCAATGAAGCCAGATACATGGCTAACAGGAATCAAAATAAGAGCTACAGAATGCATGCATCTATCAGCAAATTGAGCGTAATAGTTAAAGATATTTCTGATGCAGAGTAATGCAGTAAAAAATAAAACAAAATAAGGAAAAGCTTTAACAGGCTAAGGACAAAGGTGTTTATTTAAAAAGCAGCTACACCCATCCTCTTATCATTACCATAAAGCTACTGCTGTGTTGAGCAAATTGGATACAGATATAGGAGATGTATCGTTTTACCCAGCACTCCAAGGCGATAGTTGAGGGTTATGACAATGACGTTGCCGTAGCTTGCCAGCACGCTGCCATCCATCATGTTTCCAGTGCCTTCTGTGTACGAGCCCCCGTGGACGTAGACCATCACCGGCCGCTGGCCCCCCTCCTCGTGGATGTCTGCAAGGAGAGGGAAAGACTGATTAGATAGATAGATAGATAGATAGATTGATAGATAGATAGATAGATGTGTGTGTGTGTATGTGTGTGTGTGTGTGTGTGTGTGTGTGTGTGTGTGTGTGTGTGTGTGTGTGTGTGTGTGTGTGTGTGTGTGTGTGTGTGTGTGTCAACCTTCCATTAGTGTGCATCGCTGCCTTGAATCACTCTCAGATCTAATATACAAAAGCAGAGACAATTTTGCTACCGCTTTGCTTCACTATGCTTTGTATCATTCTACCTTCATTTCACAGCAGGTGGATATTAATTTAGGCCGTTGGAGCGTTCATCCTTGCCACATGTGTGTTTGTGTGTGTAGGGTCACATGCACCTGCATGGGCCAATATGTATGCATGAGTGAGTGTGTGTCCTTCCCACTTTCCTCCGCAAGTAAAGGAGTAACCCCCTCGGTGACTGACAGAGGTGTCTGCATGTTAAGTGTTGTTTCTACCAGGGGCGTGTAAATAAAAATGGGAGGGGGGGGTGGCTGGGCTGGAGGGGGGTGGGGCACCTTTCAAATTAAACTTAACTTATTTATTTAACAAAGGGCATGTGTTTAAATCAAATTTCACAGTCAAATTGCCCTCAAAATTACCTCACGGTCAACCAAAGTACCACCTTGTCCCCACGCTGATTTGACTTCACAAGATGAGGAACATGCTAATCTAATTCTAAACCCCGCACGCACATTCATTCAACGAGTCTCACTCACCTTCTTCAGTGGGCACGTAAATATTGAGGTAGAGACAATCCTCACTCTGGTGAGTGAGGTACGTGGCCGCTATATCCAGATTCGCCGTGAGCCAGGAGGGCATCATATCTCCCAGCATGCTCCTCTCATCCAGTGACTGCGGGCACACGGGAGCAAACTGTGTCACATTTCGTATTCCCGGCCAGGGCAGCGGAGGCTCGGGCGGCTGGAAGCGCCGCTCTCCCGTGGGAGGCCTTGCGTAAGGTACTCCCAGGTACTGGATAACAGGCCCCAGGAGGTCCGAGGGCAGGGGGGTCAACATGCCACGGATTCGCCCCTGCGCCGTTGAGATGACAGGCACGGTCTGCTGCGACGAGGACAGGGCGGGATAGAGGGAAAGGGAGAGGCAGAGGGAGAGAAGGAGGGATAGAAACCTCAGGGAGGGAGTTCTCCCGGTCCTCAGTGTGGACATGGTGGTGCGTTTAGGGGTAGCTGGGAGATTAGGGATGCGAGGGGAGGGGAAAGGAACCAGGGAAGGGTGAGGGTTACGGCTGTGTTGACCCTTTAGAGGTATCCAACAGTGACACACAGCTGCTGCTCAGTTTGGCCCATGGCACACGCACAACACACAACCCTGGTTCTTAAAAAACAACCCTTTTCCCCCTTTGTATGTCTGTGTTTGTTTATGTGTGTGCTTGGTCCTGCGTGTGAGTCAGTGATCCTGTGCCTCTGAGTGTGTGGTGACTCAGTCAGCGAGTCTCTTGAATGTTTGTCTGTGTGTGTGGAAGTGTTTAAAGCCAGTGTGTATGTCCTGCACTGGCGATTTGAGCATGTGTGTATTCGTGTATGTGTGTGTATGTGTGTGTGTGTGTGTTAGTCTCTCGTTATGTAAACAGTAGCATCACTGTTCCTCTGTCACTCTCTCCTTCCGGTCACCCCCATAACGAGCCCAAAGTGCCTCCTGGAAAAGAGAGAAAGAGAGAGAGGCGGAAAACAAAAAAAAGAAATGGCAGAAAAGATGTAATTAGTCTTCATTAGAATAATGGTAAGCGTAAGATAAATAAAACGTCACACACACTGTTACACATCACATCAGGAGAATAGGCTGTGCCACCTCGCTGCTGCTCACGTTAAAAATAGATATGAGAGCGATAGATAGGGCAAACGAGATGTTGTCCGCTCAGCTTAACTCTGTGTCAGACTGTCAGGGCTGCTGTGTCAGATACACACAAATGGCTTGTGTGTGTGCGCGTGTGTGTGTGTGTGTGTGTGTGTGTGTGTGTGTGTGTGTGTGTGTATACGTGCAAGTGTTTGTGTGTGTGTGTGTGGGGGGGGCTGCAGACATATGTCACATCGTCACTACACACTGTTGTACAGATCACAGGACCCACTAAGGGTGGGTGGACGAGTGGGTGGGGGTGGGGGTGTTTGAGAGTCACGTCACACGCTTAATTAAACCCTGGATACACCGTGGGGCTGCTGACCTGCATGTAGCATAAGGTAGGAAGCCTGTGACACACACCTACACACACACACACACTCTTTGTTCTCTATCTCTCTCTCTCTTTTATACACTCCATGTTATAATAATACACATTCACACACGCGCGCGCGCGCACGCACACACACACACACACACACACACACACACACACACACACACTGTTTTTTCTCTCTATCGAAGATGACTTTCTTGATATCACACTATTTGTCTCTCTCACTCTGTTTCTCACACATACACACACATACACACACATACACACACACACACACACACACACACACACACACAGCTGCTCCCAAGCCAAGACCGCTATCTCTCTCTCTCTAAGGGCCTTGGGGCAGAATATTAACACATAGCCTACACACAAAGAAAGCAACATTAATTTCCGTGGCAGCATGCGCAACATTTCTAACAAACACATAGGCCTACAGTCTATCTGTGGTGAGATATTAAAAAGTGTAGAATCTATCAGTACTATCGCTCCTCCCATGTTAGACTGTATTGGTGTCGGCTGTCCAAGGTGCTAGTTAACATTCCAGTGGTGATCACACACACGCTGATGAATAACGCTCCATTTATCAAGGCAAACCCGCCTGCCAGCCCTCCCCTTTTTTCTATTTTAACACAGGCTGAACAACATAAAAGCTTTTCTAAATGCTGATTAAAGGGGAAAAAAGACGAAAAAACAAAAAAATAAAGCGCAAGTGTAAAAAAAAAAAAAAAAAACGCTTGCTTGTGAGTTGGAATACCCGGTCTGAAGCTGACGACGGCAAAACACACTATCTCTCTCTCTTTCTCACTCACATACACACACACACACACACACACACACGCTCAAATGTAAATCCCTAACCTGCATCCCCGCTGCAGTGAGAGAAAAAAAACATCTCTTAATCATAAATGGCAGGAGGTATAGTCTTTTAAGCCTACCGTATCCAGCAAGGGCGAGAGGTGTGAAATCCCGCGGACCATGTTCCCGTTACACCGCAATATTCGCCTCGTGTTTTCGCTGCTGCAGCTTATCCGACGTGCCCGGGATGGGATATTGGGAGATACTCTCTGCTGCTGCTGCTGCTGCTGCTGCTGCTCCTGCTCCTGCTGCTCCTGCTGCTGCTGCTGGTGGCGTTGGCACGTCTCCTGGGTGAGAATAACCCAAAAAAAGAAACAAGGCAAAAACAAAGCCTCAAGCCTTCAGTCCGAGAAGATGTGTAGGTTTAAAAGAACAAAAAAATGACGTTCTGGATGGAGTCGAAATATGTTTCTCCAAGGAATGCAAGGCCCAGGACGGTCAAATAATCAATCTCCCTCTCTTCCTTTCTTTCTCCTCCCTTCCCCATCTCTCTCTCTCTCTCTCTCTCTCTCTCTCTTTTCTCTCTCTCTCCCTGTGTCTCTTTCTCTCCCTAGATGCGATTGGACAGTGTGGCAGGCAGCAGCTACTGATCCAATGATACGCACCTAGCTCCGTGAGGAAGCGCAGACTGGAGGGAAGAAAAGAGGGAGAATGGAGGAGAGGAGAGGAAAGGACCGACCTGTGCAGGGGAATACACACACACACACACACACACACACACACACACACACACACACGCAGTCACACGAAAGAACACACCGTTACACAAAGCACAACAGTGCATTAACACACAGGGCTCCACACATTTCCAAACACCTACAGAAGGTCCCATTGCACTAAAAAATAACATGTATGCACAATCCAATTAAACACCTGGGAAAAAACACTCACACAAACCTGTAGCAAACCCACACACACACACACATACACACACACACACACACACACCTTAACTTAACTAATGATGCTGGGGTGGCAGTGACCTCTTCAGGGCTAGAACAGGAGATTTGTGTTGCCACTCTTCAGTGCTTCAGCCTTTTTTCCCTAAGGTTCAGTGTGTGTGTGTGTGTGTGTGTGTGTGTGTGTGTGTGTGTGTGTGTGTGTGTGTGTGTGTGTGTGTGTGTGTGCATGCATGTGTGTATGGTAATGCAGTGGGTCTGCAGTCGCTACGAACTGTGTTTGGGAAAACTTCTCACGTCAGCACAGCCTGCCACAACAGCATTCAGAACTTTCTATTCATCTCCTTAACAATCTTGCGTCCCCCTGTCCATCCATCTCTTTGTGTGCTGGTCTGACTCTCTGTCTGCCCCATAGACTATGATCTGTCCATACACCAGTGTGCTTATTTCTCTGTGTTGACATTATGGTGAACACAGGTGGACATATGGCTTGTCAATATTTGCAAGAACAAAAAATGCAAAAGTATCTTGTTAGATGTACCTATGCCACAGGCTTACTGCATGAGCACTAGACTATGCTCTTTGTGACCTAACATTAATCCAAAGTGAGCAAGCATTGGCAAACAAATCTAAGGAAAAACTTCCTTTTTTAGAGGCAGAAATCTCAACAGGACCATGTTCTTTGATGGACAGTCACCTGCCATGATTTGCTGGGCTGAATATTTTGGATAGAGAGGAAAATGGATAGAGAAAAAAGCTCAGAAACAAGGCTGTTATTAGTCTGTTACACCTTACCGTTTATGTAAAAGGTACAGCGGAGGCGGAATAGTTGGGTGAGCTGGCATCAGAGGTAGTAACAGAGGTGAAACAGCATCTGTGTGAATGGTGCCAGCTGGACTGAACAGTTCTGTGTGTGTGTGTGTGTGTGTGTGTGTGTGTGTGTGTGTGTGTGTGTGTGTGTGTGTGTGTGTGTGTGTGTGTGTGTGTGGGTGTGTGTGTGTGGGTGTGTGTGTGTGGGTGTGTGTGTGAAGCTTGCACTGCTTGTTTACAGGGACAACAGTTTTGCTAAAGCAAGGCTGAAACTCTGTGTTGAATCACACACTTGGAAACCAATATGATGGCAATGCTTGGTCAAGTTGTATGGTAAGTTTAAAGGCAGTGTATGGTGCTTTGTGTAGAGACGAGCCAAAGAAACAGAAAGGGAGACAAAAAGGCAGCAACAAAAAAAGAGACTAACAATGAAAATAATAGACATATATGACTAATACAAACAAAATGAACTGTAAAACGGAAAACAGAAGTATGACTAATGTTGATATTGTTGATGGCATTCTGCCCACACTACATAAACTGGTGCCATTTTATTTTTTTGCCCCTCGCCCTCTGACAGCCTGAGTCTGCCCCTGCCCTCTAGTCGTGTCCACTGAGCCCTGCCTCTGTCTTTCTCTTTCTCCGTCTTTAAACAGGTTGTCCAAGTATCTTTTTTTCAGGAGGCAAAGTGAAGGTGACGGGTGATTTTTAGAGTGATGACACTGACTTATAGCTTACAAAGCCACAGGGCCCCCTACAGCAAAAGCCCTGTCACTCATTGTTTTTGAACCCAGACTGCCAAAGAAACCCTGCATGAGTATCTGAGGCTGTGCTCAGGCTCATATAGAATTAAAAGGTTGGGGTTGTAGCTTGATGTAAGGCCTGTTCAACGCAAATAAGCTATTAACAAAATCCAAAGAATTACCTTAAAACTACCTTTTAGTGAATGTATGGCATAGGAATAAGCTTTAACAATTTGTGGTATCTGAAAACATATCACATCTTCTTAGACTGGAAAGATAAAGAAGGATTCACAGGATCTGCGAGAAACAGCTCAGAGATTGTTATTTTACCCAGCTGAAGTAAACATGGTGATTTGGGAGGGTTCCTCAAAGGTTGAGCTGAGCTAAAGGATGACAAACAACAGTCTATTATCCGGATAGATAGAGGACTAAAACAGACCTCAGAGTTTGATTTGAAATGGATTCAGGGGGGAAAAACAAGGTGTATAAAACAATACTTCTATTTTTCTATGAGTAAAGGATATAGAAATTATATCCTTTTGCAGGGATTCCTTGGGCAGGACACTTAACCCCAAGTTGCTCAATTACATTTCCACTGTCATTTTCTGGGGCTGTCTAGTCAGCGGTAATCATCGAACCAATTACATTGCATTGTCAGCCTATCATCGCTCTGCTATCTTTTAAATATGACTCTTTCCTTGCCTACGTTTTTTCATCCCAATGTTTTGTGCCCCCCTCTACCTCCCCATCACCGCCACTTCTGTTGCCACTCAGAATTGACATTCTCCAAACACATCAACCACCCCATAAAGTCCAAGCGCCAAAGACCTTCCGTCAAGCTACATTTCCATGTCATCTATTGTAATAAATACTTTTCTTAATTCACTCGTCTCTCCTGATTGAACTACCAGTGTGACTGCAAACATCCCTCAGGTCGAGAATAGGTTCCTTGTGTTTGTAGGAAGAAGACGCTCTTGTGTTACTACAGTAATTGATACGTTTTCTCTTGCCTTCCCTCCTCTACTCTACTAATCATGGCACAGCATGCTCCTTTTAATTCCTTCAAACAATTAATTAAAACTAAACGTCACATACTATTATCAGCCTGATATGAATGAACTATAACGACAGAAAACATGTTTGATAAAATATGTTATGAATGAAAACATCATACCTCCACATGAGAGTTGTATGGTGCATAATGTCCTCATGTTTGTCTCCTCCTTGGCATTGTCTCATACCTGCTATCTTTGAAAAAAAGAATAAAAGAAAATAAATCATGAAAAACAGAAAAGAAACATTATTTGACAAGAATGTACAATTAGCCAAATAAATTGAAGACATTTGTATAAGGAAGGTCCTCCAAAATGATAACGTCTATTTTGATGATTTGAAGTGAGTGGAGCATCATCCAACGCATCAGCCCCCTATCTTTGGTTTTTGCATGACAGAACACTGGTACATTTTTATGGTAATAGGTAATTTTCTGCCCAGAAAAAAAACCTCTCTTAGGACTAAATCTCTGCAGCATGTGCCTGAAAATGTCAAATGACCACAGGCGTTCAGAGTCATTGAACAGCAACTTCTTCTGCCTTTAAATTTGTATGAAGAGTTGTATAATTAGGGATTTATAAAGTGCAAGCCAGCTGTTATAGTCCTTGACATGTATATGTAGCTGTCAGCAAACTGTTGTTGCTTTCTGATCACATCCTCTGCTGACGTGCTCTATGACATAAGAAAGAGTGGATCTTCTCTTTTTCATTAAAAGCTACACTAATGCACAAGCAGCAGAGTCACTTCAGGGTCTGTTTTGTAGCACGTTCACTGATATCTTTTCCTGTTGGAACACCATGCTTAGTCTTGGTGAGTGACGCTCCTGCCATCCATGTCCAAATAAAGAAGCTGCCTTAAATTATTCTACATGTCAACAAGGATTATGGGTAGTTAATGGCTTATTTGTCTTATTTATAACATTCAATGGGATTACACCTGTGTGAAAAGCATCTGCATTAGATCTTCTTGACATCTTTTTTCTTAAATACTTATTTTCCATGAGGAATCAGTAACACAAATATAAAAATGGATATCTCTGATGATGTGTACGCTGGTAGAAAATGGAAAACAATAATTTGAAGTAGTGTTCTTTTAAGAGCATGAACTATACTTTTCATGTGACTAACAGTCCATTCACAAAGATCATAAATAGCCTAAGTGCAGTGTTTGGTAATTTGCTCGGCATTTCTTGTTGTTTCACTCAAGGCAAAATGTCAATCATGCATAATGCTTTTAAGAACTTCTACATAGAAGTTATGAGTCTTAGTAAGTGAAGAAAATACCATTTAAGGGAAGCAACCCATTGACATCTTTGTTTTTTTAAAAAATCCAATCCAGTATCCGTTAACTCAGGATATACATTTGACCAGTACAATTGATAATCATCTGCACAGAAGTTGAGCTCATTGACATTTTGGCAGAAAAGTTAGCCAAAAAGTGAGAATATTGAACCATGAGGTTCAAAAAGGTACGTGAAATTATGAAGAAAAAAAAACGCTACTTAAAATAATTTCTATTCGATAGGCAAGACACGCTTCTCCAGAGGTTCCACAGTCATAGCGTTGCCTGTTGCATGCACAGGTTTTAGTATATTTGTGTTCCAATGGGACATTTCCATCCCTCATTTTGGGCTTAATGCACCTTTTGATGGTAGGTTGATGCATCACTGGTCTACAGGTATAGGTATAGGGTCAAAGACCATCATTCTTAGTCCAAGCGCTGGTCTTGTGTGAACTAAAGTAAAGAAAATAATAACCCTTAACGTGTTCCCTGGAGAGATGACCCTTCGGCACTTTCAACCATTGCTTTAAAGAAGTTGTTGACTGAAGACTGAGAGCTTGTCTGTGCACAACATTTTTTAATAACACTGCTTATTTGTTTTCCATCATAGTACTCTTATTTCTCTGTTTACCTTTCCAGACCTCATAAGTCTAAAACTTGTTTTGAGTCTGCTCTCCTTTATAATGCTGTTTCCTGTGAACCCCCCCACACACACACACACACACACGCACACACACACACACACACACACACACACACACACACACGCACACACACGCACACACACACACACGCACACACACGCACGCACGCACGCACACACACACACACACACACACACGCACAC